CAGGGGACCGCACTCTGTGGCGCGACCAAGGAGGTGGTAGTGCTGAAAGTATCACATTTATTTCGTCTTATGGGTCTCAGTGGCGCCGTAGGTGGAGTCGCGCGAGATGGCACTTTATCTAGTCGTTCACCAGGGAAAAAAGAATCACCAAGTGGCAAGAGGTGGGGAGAGCCACATTATATTCATATATAAAAATAAGTCCCAAAGAGTGAAATGAATTATTTTCGTGGTCTCGAGTGAAAACCCCGGGTGCTCCTTCGGTTTCGAACCACTCCCGGAACTTTAATACCCGAAGAATTAATAATACCGAAGGTGTAGAGAAGGCACAGGATGCCGCGCTTTACCACTTCTTTTTACTCTCATTTGTTTATAAATAATTCTCGCGAAATGAATCGATTAGTCATCAACGAAAATACACTTGATTATTATTTTTTATTAATTTTATTTCTCCCTGTGTTGTTCGATTACTCCTTGTCTACGGCAGGTGAAAAATCATTTGATTCAACAGTCGATGAATCGTTTTCATTTTATCCCCCTGTCAGTTTCTTATTTTGGTACATTAAATTGAATAAATTGTTTGGAAATACAAGCGGATAAAAAATTAAATCCACAATTTCTTGATGAGAATAATGAAAATAATAATAGGATAAATAATGGGATGTTGGAAGAGCTTAAACAATACTATTATACTATTATTCAAATCGCGAAGTTTCGCAGGGTAATTGCAGCTTCCTCAGTTCAATCAATAGAAATGCTACAAATAAAGTCGCCTACACTCAATTAAAAAAATTTTGAATTGACAAATTTAGTAGATAGTCACAATAGAGTTTAATAAACTCTGTGTAAATAATTGTGGGAAATTGTTGGTAAAAATGATGAAAAATCTTAATCGTGATGATTCACTGACAGCTGAAATAAACCGATCGAGTTTACGGTGCAAGATTGTTTAGCGTAATTGGACGAATCAATCTCCACGGTGTGTCTCAGCCAGGGGTCCAAGGAGTGAACGTTGGAAAAAAAGCATTTGGTAGATGGGTGTTGTCTTTAATTTTTTTTTTTTTCAACCTTCCTATCTTGAACCCTGATGGTGGGCCAGTGTGAAGAAATCTCTCTCGAGGCGTGTAAAAGGGTAAGAAATATTAAAGCCTCTCTGTAAACTGTGTGCACGGGTGAGAAGGATGAGAAAGAAGTGAAGATGCGTCAAAAAGTTGGAGATGCTTAGTAGCGATCTAATTATCTACGCGGCAGGGAAGCCCTGGCCACCTCCTGGGAAGCGTCGAGAATGAGAGCATACAAAGGTACCAACGAGGAGTTATGCTCATAAGTGCAAAGGTAGTTGTAGTTTGTGTATTTCACGCGGAGTCATCCACAGTTCACAATCGTTCAAACACTCTTGAGAAACCACTTCTTATGGGGCTACCATTTTGCACCCTGTTGGGTTGAATTGAAAACTGATATTACGGAGTTATTTCATTATCGGTAGCGATTAGTCACAGTCACTCATTCAATCACAATTCAATTGAAATCGATTCATTAAATCAACCTTCGTCATTAACAATCAAGCTAATTTCGTTCGAAAAAACTTAATTGATTCCCATGATTTCAATTCTCCAAAAGATCAGAAACAATTACTATGGAGACGAAAAAAAACGTTATTGCAATTCGAAGTGCTTGCCACCGATTTGGGCCGTATGGGCCAGGCAGTCAGATTTCAAGTGACTTGATGATTTTGTGGACGGGGCCTTATCGAGAATGTCTGTCTTTTTACTCATTTCTCGTTGGAAACCGCAAATTTTTAGTTTGCAAAGGTATTGAAAAAATTGGGCCTTATGTCTCGATGGTATTGAAATTGAATTCCCCGGATTCAAATCGATCTGTTAATATTCATAAGATGTTGGACACATACTGAATATCCCCAAAAATGCGAGGCTGCATTTGGGGACTCATGGGCCTCATAGGATTCATAGGTCTCTGGATCTCCGAACAAAAATAATTACCCACGATATAAAAAAAAATTACATTAATCCAATTGGCAATGCTTGCCATCGAGTTCCATTATTTTTCGGCCTTATGGGTCAGTCAGTCAATTTTCAAGTGAGTGGATGATTAAGCGCACGGGGTCTCATGCAGAATGTCTGAGAGATATGCCCTGGCGCAAGTTGAAGAAATCGGTGAACCGGCTGGAGTTCTTCACAACGAGGCCCACATCAGGCCCCGATTCTCGAAGGGCCCTAGCGTGCTGGGGCGAGGCGGATGATGGGTGGGGTGAGAGAGGGGAGCCTTTTATGGAGAGTGAGAGGGCGAGAGAAGGAACCGTCCCGGGTGACGGTCAGCGAGCGCGAGCTGACCCCTGACCCCCTCCACATTCACCATCTCTCTTCTGCACGGAGTTTTATCTTGTCGCACCCGTTAAACTCGTATTACCGGGGCCTCCTCGGCGTGGCGTGGGCGAAGTTACAGGAGGGGCGGGAGGGGTGGCAAGTTGGGGCCCGCGGGCGTCCTGAGACCGTGAGAACACCACCTATAATATTATTTAGTCTGCTCCGGTGCTCACTTCTTTCTTTTTCTTTTTGTTGAATCAACTATCTCACTCGGTTTGGCTACACTTCCTCTTTCTCACTTGCGCCAATTCACTGTTATATACCCCTCCTCCCCCTCCTCCCTCTCGCCCGCTGTACGTAACGTCTCCCCCCCTCCACTACATACTTCTTATATTTTCGCTTCGCTCGTCTCCGGCACCCACGGGCCCCGCAAGATCACCTCGGCCTAGGGCCCCTCTAGGCGCATATACCACGGATTTACTCTCGCGCGCATTAATTGCCGTCGTAAATTGTTGCGGCTTTGCAGTTCTTTTCCATGGTGTACCAAACGATGCGAATGAGCGTCATGAAAACAAAACAAGATGGAATAAAGTGATGGTGGGCATAACAGAGGCCCAAAAGGATATCTCGTTTGAGACATTTAGCGAGAGAGGACTCACAATGCACACAGAGGCGGTCAGTCATCAAAGGAGTATTACTTGTCCACTGGTGCCGCCAGTCTGAATCAAATGTTCCGGAACTGGTGGTTATTTCTGTTCGTGATGGGCCTGCGGCCCCAGAAACGAGAGAAAATATTTCATTTCCTTCGATATCTAAGAACAGAAGGGATGAAGAAATTCCTCGGCCTTAAGACCTGGAATGTTAATCATAGAAGACTGATATCAGTGTGAGAAGCAAATGGTGATGGGCCTTACGGCCCCAATTGAAATAATGTATTACATAATTTTTGCCCCATCTGCTGAGTACATTCCTAAGACATGTTAAACCCCAACCCCCTTTAACTGTCGATGTACTGTGGTTCAATTAGGAGAGTATTGTAAAAATTGGGTCTTATGTCTTGAGGGTATTGAAATTGAATTTTTCATCTTTAAATCGACCTGCTAATATTCACAAGATGTTGAATATATACTGAATATACTCGAAAATGTGAGGACTCATTTGCAGACTCATGGGCCTCATAGGACTTATAGATCTCTGAATCTTGGAATGAAAATAATTACTCACGATATAAAAAAACAATTGAATTAATCCAATTAGACATGCTCGCCATCGAGTTCTATTATTTTTGGGTCTTATGGGTCAGTCAGTCAATTTTCGAATGACTAGATTTTTTGGGCCTTAGGCTCAGAAATTAAAGAATCTAGTTTATTCCTCTTGATATCCAACAATAAAAGGGATAAAGAAATTCCTTGACTTTAAGATCTGGAATGTTAATGATCGACGACTGATATCAGTGTGAGAAGCCTTACGGTGATGGGCCTTACGGCCCCAAACGAAACATCGTATTACATAATTTTTGCCCCATCCGCTGAGTACCCTACTAAGTGGCGTCAAACCCCAACTCCCTTCAATTATCGATGTGCTGTAGTTCGATTAGTAAAATATTGTAAAAATTGGGTCTTATGACTTGAGGGTATTGAAATTGAATTCCCCATCTTCAAATTGACCTGTTAATATTCACAAGATGTTCAATATATACTGAATATACTCGAAAATGCGAGGACGCATTTGGGGACTCATGGGCCTCATAGGACTTACAGGTCTCGGAATCGTCAAACGAAAATAATTACTCACGATATTAAAAAAAACAATTAAATTAATCCAATTGGAAATCCTCCCCATGGAGTTCTATTATTTTGGGCCTTATGGGTCAGTCAGACAACTTTCAAGTGGCAAGACTTTCTGGGCCTCAAGGCCCAGAAATTAAAGAAAATAGTTTATATCTGTCAACATCGAAGAGCAGAAGGGATGAAGAAATTCTTCGAACTTCGGACCTGGAATGTTAATGACAGACAACTGATATCAGTGTGAGAAGCAGATGATGATGGGCCTTACGGCCCCCAACGAAAAATCATATTACATAATTTTTGCCCCATCTGCTGAGTACCCTCCTAAGAGGCGTTAAACCCCACCTCCCTTTAATTGTCGATATGCTGTGGTTCGATTAGCAGAGTCATAAATCGTAACGTGTAGTCGATATCTTTGCGGGGGCCTCAGACTCACACTATGGGGCCCTATATACGCATTGTTAAAGAGACCTTGCGTGATAGCAAACGACGGTTTACCGCCGCACGCTTATGAATATCCATGTATCCTCTCTCTTGCTGTCCTCTCTCTTCCACAACTCCCCCGCAAACTTCTTGGGCATTGTGCACGCGTGCCCGCGACCGTGTGTTGCCAGGCCGTGAATCGAGTGGATATATACACTTTGGGGCTGCCTCAGCTGTCGGGGTCCACTCGGGCCTCGCTCGATTCTTCCCTCTCTCTCTCGCACGCATGTCAAACTCCTCTCATTTTTTTACCTTTTTTCTTCAACATTCTGTCTCCCTTCGACTAACGCCCGTCCATGTCTACACGAACTTACGTGGGCCAAGTTATTCACTCGAATAATCGCCACCAGGTGGCTCCACCAGCAGTGCCCAGCAGCGGGATGCCCAAGCAGTCTTCAGGGCGCCTTCGCACTGCGAGCACCGCCCCGTTCCCAACGTCTTGTGTTACATTATTGGGCTGTACTGTCAGTTTAAAAAAAAAACCATAACAACAAAGAGAGAGAAAAAAATTGACGCTTCAGGACAGTTTCATGTCAATACCAGGTATGAGTATAAACATGTATTGTGACAATATCCATAACTGGTAAATCGTGTGACCGTGAAAATGAACCACTGACAGTGATTACAAACGAAGGATTAAATGACAAGTTGAATATTACCAGCTGTTCTTCAGTAATCATTGTCATGAGTGATGGGAACTTGAGTGTTGATTTAAAAAGCACAAGTGTATCCTAAATCAACGAATGGTGATAAGTGAATTGATGAAGAACATAAGATCAGTGAGGATGCAGGAAGATAATCAGCAAGTACCAACGACAACGTCATCAATGACATCGACGGACTTTCGTGAGGCTGAGTCGTCAACAGAATCAACAACTATTGACTCGAGTCTGCCTAATCTGACACTACAGAGTGTTGCGTTGGGCTTACAGGGTGCCCTGTTGGCAGCCCTTCAGCGAGCAGCTTTGTTACCACCTGGGCCAGCAGCAGCTGCCCTGAATCTCCAAGCATTGGAGACTTATCTGACCCTTCACAGATTGCACGCAAGTGGAGCAACAAGTGTCTCATCATCATCAACACCGTCAACTACAAGCTTTCCGGGCATCTCGATATCCCAGAGATGTCTGTCCCTCAACATGACGAGCACCAGTCCCTTGACATCAGGATCATCTCCAATCAAGAGTGACCTTGGTATCGAGGTACTCCAGTCAACAGCCCTGGATGACGACGAGGTGTCACACTTGGAGTTCGTCACCGATCCGGAGGAGGATCTGGCCCTTCTCGAGGAGGAGGAGTCCCTCATCCAGGAGACCCCGGAGACATCGTCAGCATCAACAACAACTCATCACGACGCACTACTCCAGAGAATCACTGATGTTCAAGCACCATCACCAACACCACAATCACAACCACCAACAACGTCATCGGTACAAGCCACCTCCACCTCAGGAGACACAAACCTATCCCGCAATTGTCGTGCGTCACGGCCGAAGAAACAGTTCATCTGTAAATTCTGTAGCCGACAATTTACCAAATCTTATAATCTCCTGATACACGAGAGGACACACACCGACGAGAGACCGTACTCCTGTGACATATGTGGAAAGGCCTTCCGACGGCAGGATCATCTCAGGGATCACAGGTAGAGTACATAATGGAAAATCAACTTTCACCCATAGTAATACTAATAGTAATATTGCATGCACTCACCCGATCATTCATCCAAATGTTTGAAAAACCATCTAGATTATACCTCTGTTCACATGTCCTGTGGGCATTGAAAACATTCAGGAAGTCCTCGTGTCTGTCTCCTGTGAATGAAAAAAATGTGCCGATTATTGCCGCACGTAAAGGACTTTCCCCTCTTCCCTTGCACCATTATTTTACGATCCGTAACAAATTGATTTGAGCATGGCTCGTTATGCGGTTTGTACCCAAGCATTATTTCATCTCATTTAATTTAACATTTACCTTTTACATCGCTCTTTAACATAATGCAAAAGTTTTATTGACAATTATAGTGACCATTAACTCAAGTTGATTATTATTTCTGTAGACAAATATTATTTATTTCATTATTTCCAGGTATATTCATAGTAAAGAGAAACCTTTCAAATGCGCTGAATGCGGAAAAGGTTTTTGCCAGAGTAGAACATTAGCTGTACACAAGATACTACACATGGAGGAGTCACCACACAAATGTCCAGTTTGCGCAAGGAGTTTCAATCAACGAAGTAATTTGAAGACACACCTTCTGACACACACTGACATTAAACCGTATCATTGTGGCTCTTGTGGCAAAGTATTTCGGAGAAATTGCGATTTGAGAAGGCACTCGTTGACTCACAATCTCGGTGTATCATCATCACCACCACCACCTGGTATACCTGTACCAGGTTCCAGTGGTGTTCTTCAAGAGACTTCATAGTATTTCTAAAATCATAAAATCAAGATGATGAAACAAAAAAGTTCCCTAATTAATTATGTAAAATTATGAGATTAGACGAAAAGACTTTATCTGATCATAGTTCAGTGATATCAATCATCAGATTTCGCCCAGAATCTCAGTTCCATTGATATTAAATCACTTCGGCTCGTGCTCATACTGATCTTATCTGTAATTTAATCATAATTGTATATTACAGATTATGTAAAGTTATGTTTATTAGATTTGTGATTACGTGGAGATTATTACGATAACAGTCTGTGTTTTTCATTGTACGTAAAATAAATTTATTATCATTATTGAGAAACAAATGATGCTAAAAATATTTACCATGCTTAACAGATATCCCGTGGATGATTGAATATGTTAATGATACGTAAGATTCTCGTCATCTTGTCTGACTGCTTCTCGGAACAATGATGATAATTAAATGGGGGTCTAGCTTATTAATTGGGCACCTTCTTCCATGGTTCTTCAAATAAAAACATTTCAAATAAAAATATATATATATAAGATGCAGGAGACGAACAGGTGGCTCGTGTTTCAAAGCCAACTTACCGCCAGGTGCGCGTCAGGGACATCACCTTGGTTGATACGTTCGTCTAGGGTTACAATCTTTTTCTCTCTTACTTCGTCGAGGCCATTATCGAGGTGGATGAGGTTTGGGGCCCACTCTAACCTCTGAAAGAAAAAAAGGTATACTCCTGCCAGCAACGGGGAAACATACGATAAGGAATTATAAGGAATGAGTGGAATCGTGTGCGGTCACTTCTCACCTTCTCACTAGCCCGATGATATCCGAACGAAGAGGCCCATAAGCTCGTTAACAATCCCCTTCTCCCGAAATGAGTGATATCCCAGTGTATAATATTCATGGGACCTCATTTTTACAGTCACCCCTGCCGATAAAGAACATTGATCGTCTCCCTCCGGGGACTGGACAATGAAATCGAGGAGAAATCGTTCATTCAGAATTTTTTGTCAATTGTAGAATAAATGAGAATGGAAAAAAAGTATCAACACCAATAAGTATGGATGATGAGCTTCATACATTGTTTGATCTACCATGATACCATAAGGCCCAAAATTCACATGATGAAAATTTTTTCAATAATTTTTATCATTGACCAAAATCCACGTTCTATTAAACTGAGAGAAGTGAAAATTCAATTTGGGCCCAATGACATTTTTGGGCCTCATGGGCCTTAGTACGTTGAATTTCGTTTTTGAATCGTCTATGGTAGACACAAGAGGGACATGTGATTAACCTCAGAATATTGTGTTATGTCACAAAATTATAAGGCCCAAAATTTGGGTCTTATGAAAGCTACCGGCCTCATAATTGATATCGATCAAAACTTCTTATTGAAAAGCCTGATGTGGTGTACTATTTGAAATTCCATGAAATTTATGATTGCTGGGACTACGAGTCCATGGGGCCCAAAGTTCTAAAATAATTTGCCGCTATTCGTATGAATAATAGTAGAGAGTCATTTCAGGTAAGCACATGCGATGTGAGTGAGGTGCGGACGGTGGAGCATTTGATGAAAAGAAATTTCAGAATTAGCACGAGGGCCCGTACAAAACGCGTGTAAATCCTTCACGATGGCGGGGCCTTAAATAAGGAAGTGAGGCGAAATGTGTACAGGAAGAAGGTGGGGGAGGGAGAGAGAGTGAGTGAAAGAGTTGGTCGCGTGGGGCCTCATTGGAACTTACGTTGCAGAGGGAGAGGGGGGATAAGTCCCTGGCAAGTAGAAGTGGTGGGGGCAAAGGGGGGTAAGAGAATCGTCTATCTTTCTTCGCATGAGGACACCGAGGGACCACACGCACGCGCCGCCCACAGATACGGTATCACTGCGCTACAACCCAACGTGATCTGCATGCGCATGTCCTCCTTCATCACTAAAAAAGAAGAAAATTCCTCAAGGGAATCTCCCTTTTCCTCGTCTCCTCCTTTGGGGCAATTTTATTTTGCATTTTTCTTTTTCAATTTTACATGTCTCTCCACCCCCCGACTACCCTGATTTAAGGGATTGATACAAACTTCTTCACCTCGGTCTAATCCACGATTCTTGATACTCGACTGATAAGGTAGGTGTACTCATTCAGCTCTTCCTTATTCACTTGGGCTAAAACATAGCTGTGGAATGGAAATAAAACAAGGTTGAGTTTGGGAGGGAAAGAAAAAAAAGATGTGAAAAAAAAGACAAAAAACCGTTGAACAGGATTTTGCGTGGGCGTTTTCCAGTCGGACTGGTACCGGATCGATTTGTCCGGTAAATATTTTTTGGGAATTCCTGAGAGGGAAGTGTGTCCCTGCTACGTTTTTTTTTTTCAATTTCATTTGATCCAATGCTTGAGCACAGTGGAGATAAAATACTGAACCTGTGAAGTTTCTGCTCCCCCAGTTTTTTTTATCACACTTTTTTTTCATGTCTTAAAAGACCGCAGATACTGGGGACGATCTTATTGAACGTGTACCAGGTTTACACGGGGCCCGAGAGAGGGGCGAGAGAGTGCGGAGGAGAATGAGAAGGAAAGATACATGTGAGGATACTCACACCAGGCGTAACGTCTCCATACGAGGGTCCAAAGAACGAAGTTGTACTTGCCGATATACGATCGGGGATGCTCTTTCACGCGCGCCTTAGCCACATGCAAACATCAACCGATGCATGGGCCTTAAGCACGGAAGGGAGAGAGAGGCCCACCCGCAATAACCGAAGGTACCGTGTTGTTATAAGATCTAACAACTGAGAGAGCCAGTGGAAAATTTACAACGTGCGACGATTGTACTCTACTGTATTCAGAAATATTTTTTATTACGGATTTTTAATTTAGGGTCTTATGAACTTGAACGAATTGGGCCTTACTGTGAAGAATCAGAATGAGAATTATTTGACATTTCTATCTATTGAAATTAATTACTATGAGGATTGAAATTTCAAGTAGGGGCTAACGACGATGTTGGGCCTGGTGGGCCCTATAATTGGGAAATTCTTTCGCGACGGTTCAATGGAGAATAGTGAATATGCTCCTGAGTAACTTCAATATACTGATTCTCGACTCGCAAGAATCATAAGGCCCAAAATTTGGGAGTTATGAGTTTATGGGCCTTGCAGATGTTGATTGGAATTCGTTGTGAATGGTTAGTAATAAATACTTTGATCATCTGTCATTACTCCCTACACATCAATTGCGGGCCGACGGGTCCGTAAGGCCCATTTCTTCAACCATCCTTCATCAATGAATAAATTTCTATTATTCTGACTGACATAATTGGCACAAACTTTTGATCAATTCTGTTCGCGAAAAAAAATTATACTTCATTCGGGCCCAATTTCACGTGTGGGCGGAAGGTGTAGAGTATATAGATCCAGGTAAAAAAAAGTAAGGCCCAGGCGGACAGGATGACGGACGGCGGTATAGTCCCGAGGCGCTTTGACCGCGTAGAACTGACTTCTGCGACACACAGGGGGGAAATTTGCAGAGGAAGGAAGCAGAGAGGAATACCAAAGCCCACGCATTTGAACTTATGTTTTTCGGGCCCATCCCCCCCCCCGCACCCTCTACTCCCAAAATGTCCGAATGACATCTGCGTCACTTCGTTATGGTTTTGCCATGGTGGTTGTCCCCTATAGCTCGTGCCTTTCTCTTTGCACACACAGCATACAAAAAAAAATCCTAGCCAGGATAGGCTGTATGCATTTTATTTATTGGATTCTCTTTGGGTTATACGGTTTCGCCGCAAGAGAGCATACCGCATCGCGTATATTCATTCCTGTGTCCATTTTTTTTTTCTTACTCCTCCAGTCGCCCACAAGAGGACGAACTCGGGGAACAAGAGGATCAGGAGACGTATAAAACGATCACCAATGTAATATGTTACAACCTGCGGTCTCTTGGTCCCTGACCGCCTTTCATACCTCATCTCGCACTTTTCACCTTTTCTTTGTCTATATTTAATTCGAAAAATCAAGGCACTATGCAAATATTGTATGATGCGAACATGACTGATTGAATCTAGCGTTTTTTCAGATTTGTTTCAGATTTTTTTTCCGATTTTCTTCATCTGCTTTTTCTTTGTCAAGAAATAGAAGCGGTAATTTACACCCTAGTAAGTTATCTAAATTAAAACTTCCAGTTGGGCCTTACGGTTCTCAGAATATTGAATTCCGGTTCCGTTCCTTCAAGTATTAGTGATGCCTGTAATTAATTCTAATCTATTGATTCTTCAATCGTACTGACATGAGATATTTTGGGCCTTATGATAGCGTGATTAAAAGTGAATCTTTTATAAATCTCATCTGATTTCTACAATTGGAACAAATTCATGTTCTACGAAGTTGTGAGGTTCAAGACTGAAATTGGGCCTGATAAAAATAATGGGCCTATGGGCCCTGTAATACTGAATTCCGTTTTTGAAAATCTGATGAATAATATCAAAGATGCCTGTAATTACTCCGAATTCATTGAGTTGTCAATGATTAAACCATAAGGCCCAAAATTTATATCTCACGGATGTTATGATCATACGTTTTCTCGTTTTTATCATCCACCAAAACGTGGAAGGTCAGTTATTAAAAATTTGCTGAAATTGGGACTAATAAAAATAATGGGCCTGATGGGTCTTGCAATACTCAATTCCGTTTTTGAAGATCTGATGAATAATATCAACGATGTCCGTAACTATTGCCAATTCATTGACTTTTCAATAATTAAATCATAAGGCCCAAAATTCAAATCTTGCGGATTCTACGACCATCCATTTTCTTTTTTATAATCAACCGAAAAAGGAAGTTTCATTATTAAAAATTTGCAATTTTCCCAAAATTGTCAGAAAATTTATATTCTTCGAATTTTTTTTTACAGATTGCATATGCGTCTACGGTCCACGTGTGTTTATATATACGCACAACGATATTCAACATATATCCCCAGGTTTTTCTTATACCTGCCTCCCAAGGTACCAAACTCAAGAAGAAGATAACGTTATCTCGCGTGTGAATGCTTCGAGGCGTGGAAGAGCAGGTACCGGGGCTCAATAATGTCGAGATAGCGGTGGTCCGATAATTTACAGGGTGATTCGTGCCCGGTCGCTGAGGAGACTATCAAGATTAATTAGAAAAAAATAAAAATACAGAATAAAAAAAAATTATTGTTGCCTACACGTCGTCCACTACCAATAAAAAATGTGAAATAGCGAAAAATAAATGTTCATGTTTGAATTTTTTTTTCTCCAA